CTCCTGGAGAAGGCAAGCTCTTGGACCAGGCAGGCTTCTGGACCAAGCAAGCTCCTAGACCAGGCAAGCTCCTGGACCAGGAAAGCTCCTGGACCAGGCAAGCTCCTTGACCGGGCAAGCTCTTGGACCATTCACGCTCCTGGACCAAGCAAGCTCTTGGACCAGGCAAGCTGTTAGACCAGGCAAGCTCCTAGACCAGGCAGGCTCCTAGACCACGCAAGCTCCTGGACCACGCAAGCTCCTAGACCAAGCAAGATCCTGGACCACGCAAACTCGTGGACCAGGCAAGCTCCTGGACCAGGCAAGCTCCTGGACCAGGCAAGCTCCTAGACCAGGCAAGCTCCTGGACCAGGCAAGCTCTTGGACTAGGCAAATTCGTGGACCAGGCAAGCTCCTGAACCACGCAAACACATGGACCAGGCACGCTCGTGGACCAGGCAAGCCCCTCGACCAGGCAAGATCCTAGACCAGGCAAGCTCCTGGACCAGGCAAGCTCCTGGACCGGGCAATCTCGTGGACCAGGCACGCTCCTGGACCAAGCAAGCTCCTGGACCAGGCAAGCTCCTGGACCAGGCAAGCTTTTGGACCAGGCACGCTCCTGGACCAAGCAAGCACTTGGACCAGGCAAGTTGTTGGACCAGGCAAGCTCCTGGACCTGGCAAGCTCCTTGACCAGGCAAGCTTGTGGACCAAGCACGCTACTGGACCAGGCAAGCTCCTAGACCAGGCAAGCTCCTAGACAAGGCAGGCTCCTGGACGAGGCAAGCTCCTGGACCAGGGAAGCTCCCAGACCAGGCAAGCTCCTGGACCAGGCAAGATCCTGGACCGGGCAAGCTCCTGGACCAGGCAAGCTCTTGGACCAGGCAAGCTCGTGGACCAGGCATGCTCCTAGACCAGGCAAGATCCTAGACTTGGCAAGCTCCTGGACCAGGCAAGCTCCTGGATCAGGCAAGCTCCTGGACCAGGCACGTTCCTGGACCAGGCAAGCTGTTAGACCAGGCAAGCTCCTGGACCAGGCAAGCTCCTGGACCAGGCACGCTCCTGGACCAGGCAAGCTCCTGGACCAGGCAAGCTCCTGGACCAAGCAAGCTCGTGGACCAGGCTTGCTCCTGGACCAGGCAAGATCCTAGACCAGGCAAGCTCTTGGACCAGGCAAGCTCCTGGATCAGGCAAGCTCCTAGACCAGGCACGCTCCTGGACCATGCAAGCTGTTAGACCAGGCAAGCTCATGGACCAGGCACGCTCCTGGACCAGGCACGCTCCTGGACCAGGCACGCTCCTGGACCAGGCACGCTCCTGGACCAGGCACGCTCCTGGACCAGGCAAGCTCCTGGACCACGCAAGCTCCTGGACCTTTCATGCTTCTCGACCAAGCAAGCTCCTGGACAAGGCAAGCTCCTGGACCACGCAAGCTCTTGGACCAGGCACGCTCCTCGACCAGGCAAGCACTTGGACCAGGCAGGCTTCTGGACCAAGCAAGCTCCTGGACCAGGCAAGCTCCTGGACCAGGCACGCTCCTGGACCAGGCTAGCTTTTGGACCAGGCAAGCTCTTGGACCAGGCTAGCTCCTGGACCAAGCAAGCTCCTGGACCAGGCAAGCTCCTAGACCAGGCAAGCTCCTGGACGAGGCAAGCTCCTGGACCAGGCAAGCTCCTGGACCAGGCACGCTCGTGGACCAGGCACGATCTTGGACCAGGCAAGCCCTTGGACCAGGCAGGCTCGTGGATCAGGCACGCTCCTAGACCAGGCAAGCTCCTGGACCAGGCAAGCTCCTGGACCAGGCAAGCTTTTAAACCAGACACACTCCTGGACCAGGCACGCTCCTAGACCAGGAACGCTCCTTGACCAGGCACGCTCCTAGACCAGGCACGCTCTTGGACCAGGCAAGCTCCTGGACCACGCAAGCTCATGGACCTTTCATGCTTCTCGACCAAGCAAGCTCCAGGACCAGGCAAGCTCCTGGACCAGGCACGCTCCTCGACCAGGCAAGCACTTGGACCAGGCAGGCTTCTGGACCAAGCAAGCTCTTGGACCAGGCAAGCTCCTGGACCAGGCACGCTCCTGGACCAGGCAAGCTTTTGGACCAGGCAAGCTCTTGGACCAGGCAAGCTCCTGGACCAAGCAAGCTCCTGGACCAGGCAAGCTCGTGGACCAGGGAGGCTCGTGGACCAGGCAAGCTCTTGGACTAGGCACCCTCGTGGACCAAGCACGATTCCGGACCAGGCAAGCTCCTTGACCAGGCAAGCTCCTGGACCACGCAAGCTCTTGGACCTGGCAAGCTTCTGGACCAAGGAAGCTCCTGGACCAGGCACACTCCTGGACCAAGCACGCTCATGGACAAGGCAAGCTCCTGGATCAGGCAAGCTCCTGCACCAAGCAAGCTCCTGGACCAGGCATGCTCGTGGACCAGGCAAGCTCCTGGACAAGGCAAGCTACTGGACCACGCAATCTCTTGGACCAGGCATGCTCTTGGACCAGGCAAGCTCTTGGCCGAGGAACGCTTCTGGACCAAGCAAGCTCCTGGACCAGGCAAGCTCCTGGACCAGCAAGCTCGTAGACCAGGCAAGCTCCTGGACCAGGCAAGCTCCTGGACCACGCAAGCTCCTGGACTAGGCAAGCTCTTGGTCCAGGCAAGCTCCTGGACAAGGCAAGCTCCTGGACCAGGCAAGCTCCTCGACCAAGCACGCTCCTCGACCAGGCACGCTCTTCGACCAGGCAAGCTCTTGGACTAGGCACGCTCCTGGACCAAGCAAGCTCTTAGACCAGGCAGGCTTCTGGACCAAGCAAGCTCCAGGACCAGGCACACTCCTTGACCAGGCACGCTCCTCGACAAGGCAAGCTCCTGGAAAAGACAAGCTCCTGGACCACGCAAGCTCTTAGACCAGGCACACTCCTGGACCAGGCACGCTCCTGGACTAGGCAAGCTCCTAGACCAGGCAAGCTCCTGGACAAGGCAAGCTCGTGGACCACTCACGCTCCTGGACCACACAAGCTCCTAGACCAGGCAAGCTCCTGGACGAGGCAAGCTCCTGGACTAGGCAAACTCGTGGACCAGGCACGCTCCTGGACCAAGCAAGATCCTGGACAAGGCAAGCTCATGGACGAAGCAAGCTCCTGGATCACGCAAGCTCCTGGACCAAGCACGCTCCTGGACCAGGCAAGCTCCTAGATCAGGCAAGGTTGTGGACCAGGCAAGCTCCTGGACCAGGCACGCTCCTGGACTAGGCAAGCTCCTGGACCAGGCAAGCTCGTGGACCACGCAAGCCCTTGGACAAGGCAAGCTCTTGGACCATACAAGCTCTTGGAGCAGGCAAGCTCTTGGACCAGGCAAGCTCGTGGACCAGGCACGCCCCTGGACCAGGCAACCTCCTGGACCACGCAAGCTCCTGGACCAGGCAAGCTCGTGGACCAGGCAAGCTCCTAGACCAGGCAAGCTCCTGGACCAGGCAAGCTCGTGGACCAAGCAAGCTCGTGGACCAGGCAAGCTCCTGGACCAGGCAAGCTCCTGGACCAAGCAAGCTCATGGACCAGGCAGGCTCGTGGACCAGGCACGCTCTTGGACTAAGCAAGCTCCTGGACCAGGCAAGCTTCTGGACCACGGAAGCTCTTGGACTAGGCACGCACCCGGACCAGGCAAGCTCTTGGATCTATCATGCTTCTCGACCAAGCAAGCTCCTGGACCAGGCAAGCTCGTGGACCACGCAAGCTCTTGGACCAGGCACGCTCCTCGACCAGGCAAGCACTTGGACCAGGCAGGCTTCTGGACCAAGCAAGCTCCTAGACCAGGCAAGCTCTTGGACCAGGCACGCTCATGGACCAGGCAAGCTTTTGGACCAGGCAAGCTCTTGGACCAGGCAAGCTCCTGGACCAAGCAAGCTCCTGGACCAGGAAAGCTCCTAGACCAGGCAAGATCCTGGACGAGGCAAGCTGCTGGACCAGGCACGCTCGTGGACCAGGCACGATCTTGGACCAGTCAAGCCCTTGGACCAGGCAGGCTCGTGGATCAGGCACGCTCCTGGACCAGGCAAGCTCCTGGACCAGGCAAGCTCCTGGACCAGGCAAGCTCTTAGACCAGGCACGCTCATGGACCAGGCAAGCTCCTAGACCAGGCAAGCTCCTGGACCAGACAAGCTCCTGGACCAGGCAAACTCGTCAACCAGGCAAGCTCCTGGACCATGCAAGCTCCTGGACTAGGTAAGCTCTTGGACAAGGCACGCTCCTGGACCAGGCAAGCTCCTGGACCATGCAAGCTCCTGTACTAGGCAAGCTCGTGCACCAGGCACGCTCCTGGACCAGGCAAGCTCCTAGATTAGGCAAGCTACTGGACCAAGCAAGCTCATGGACCTGGCAAGCTCCTGGACCAGGCAAACTCGTGCACCAAGCAAGCTCGTGGACCAGACAAGCACCTGGACTAGGCAAGCTCCTGGACCAGGCAAACTCCTGGACCAGGCAAGCTCCTCTACCAGGCAAGTTCGTGGATCACGCACGCTTTTGGACAAGGCGACCTCCTGGACTAGGCAAGCTCCTGGACCAGGCAAGCTCCTGGACCAGGCAAGCTCCTAGACCGGGAAAGCTCCTAGACCAGGCAAGCTCGTGGACCAGGCAAGCTCGTGGACCAGGCAAGCTCGTGGACCAGGCAAGCTCCTGGACCAGGCAAGCTCCTGGACCAGGCAGGCTCGTGGACCAGGCAAGCTCCTGGACCAGGCACCCTCGTGGACCAGGCACGATTCCGGACCAGGCAAGCTCCTTGACCAGGCAAGCTCCTGGACCACGCAGGCTCTTGGACCTGGCAAGCTCCTGGACCACGCAAGCTCTTGGACCAGGCACGCTCCTGCAGAAAGCAAGCTCTTGGACCAGGCAGGCTTCTCGACCAAGCAAGCTCCTGGACCAGGCAAGCTCCTGGACCAGGAAAGCTCCTGGACCAGGCAAGCTCCTTGACCGGGCAAGCTCTTGGACCATTCACGCTCCTGGACCAAGCAAGCTCTTGGACGAGGCAAGCTGTTAGACCACGCAAGCTCCTGGACCAAGCAAGCTCCGGGACCAGGCAAACTCGTGGACCAGGCAAGCTCCTGGACCAGGCAAGCTCCTGGACCAGGCAAGCTCCTAGACCAGGCAAGCTCCTAGACCAGGCAAGCTCTTGGACCAGGCAAATTCGTGGACCAAGCAAGCTCCTGAACCACGCAAACACGTCCACGTCCACGTCCACGTCAACGTCCAGGTCCACGTCCACGTCCACGTCCACGTCCACGTCCACGTCCATTTTTACGTCGACGTTTACGTCCACGTCCACGTCCACGTCCATGTCCACGTCCACGTCCATGTCCACGTCCATGTCCACGTCCAGGTCCACGTCCACGTCCACGTGAACGTCCACGTCCACGTCCATTTCTACGTCCACGTCCACGTCCACTTCCACGTCCACGTCCACGTCCATGTCCACGTCCACGTCCATGTCTACGTCCACGTCCATGTCCACGTCCAGGTCCAGGTCCACGTCCACGTCCACGTCCATGTCCACGTCCACCTCCACATCCACGTCCACGTCCACCTCCATGTCCACGTCCACGTCCACTTCCACGTCCACATCCACGTCCACTTCCACCTCCACGTCCACGTCCACGTCCACAACCACGTCCACGTCCACGTCCATTTCTACGTCCACGTCCACATCCACGTCCACGTCCACGTCCATTTCGACGTCCACGTCCACGTCCACGTCCATTTCCACGTCCACGTCCACGTCCACGTCCACGTCCACGTTCACGTCCACGTCCACGTCCATTTCTACGTCCACGTCCACGTCCACTTCCACGTCCACGTCCATGTCCACGTCCACGTCCACGTCCACGTCCACGTCCATTTCTACGTCCACGTCCACGTCCACTTCCACGTCCACGTCCATGTCCACGTCCACTTCCACGTCCACGTCCACGTCCACGTCCATGTCTACGTCCAGGTCCACATCGAGGTCCAGGTCCACGTCCACGTCCACTTCGACGTCCACGTCCACGTCCACGTCCACGTCCATGTCCACGTCCACCTCCACGTCCACGTCCACGTCCACGTCCATTTCTACGTCCACGTCCACGTCCACGTCCAAGTCCACGTCTATGTCCACGTCCACGTCCACGTCCACGTCCATTTCTACGTCCACGTCCACGTCCACTTCCACGTCCACGTCCACGTCCATGTCCACGTCCACGTCCATGTCCACGTCCACGTCCATCGTCCATGTCCATGTCCACGTCAACGTCCATGTCCACGTCCACGTCCACGTCCACGTCCACGTCCACGTCCACGTTCATGTCTACGTCCAGGTCCACGTCCAGGTCCAGGTCCACGTCCACGTCCACTTCGACGTCCACGTCCACGTCCACGTCCACGTCCACGTCCATGTCCACGTCCACGTCCACGTCCACGTCCACGTCTACGTCCACGTCCATTTCTACGTCCACGTCCACGTCCACGTCCATTTCCACGTCCACGTCCACGTCCACGTCCACGTCCACGTCCACGTCCATTTCCACGTCCACGTCCACGTCCACTTCCACGTCCACGTCCATGTCCACGTCCACGTCCACGTCCACGTCCACGTCCATTTCTACGTCCACGTCCACGTCCACTTCCACGTCCACGTCCATGTCCACGTCCACGCCCACGTCCACGTCCACGTCCACGTCCATGTCTACGTCCAGGTCCACATCCAGGTCCAGGTCCACGTCCACGTCCACTTCGACGTCCACGTCCACGTCCACGTCCACGTCCATGTCCACGTCCACGTCCACGTCCACGTCCACGTCCACGTCCATTTCTACGTCCACGTCCACGTCCACGTCCACGTCCATGTCCACGTCCACGTCCACGTCCATGTCCATGTCCACGTCCATGTCCATTTCTACGTCCACGTCCACGTCCACGTCCACGTCCACGTCCACGTCCATTTCGACGTCCACGTCCACGTCCAGGTCCATGTCCACGTCCACGTCCACGTCCATGTCCATGTCCACGTCCATGTCCACGTCCACGTCCACGTCCACGTCCATGTCCACGTCCACGTCCACGTCCATGTCTACGTCCAGGTCCACGTCCAGGTCCAGGTCCACGTCCACGTCCACTTCGACGTCCACGTCCACGTCCACGTCCACGTCCACGTCCATGTCCACGTCCACGTCCACGTCCACGTCCATTTCTACGTCCACGTCCACGTCCACGTCCATTTCCACGTCCACGTCCACGTCCACGTCCACGTCCACGTCCACGTCCACGTCTACGTCCACGTCCACGTCCATTTCTACGTCCACGTCCACGTCCACTTCCACGTCCACGTCCAGGTCCACGTCCAAGTCCACGTCCACGTCCATTTCTACGTCCACGTCCACTTCCACGTCCACGTCCAGGTCCACGTCCACGTCCACGTCCACGTCCATTTCTACGTCCACGTCCACGTCCACTTCCACATCCACGTCCATGTCCACGTCCACGTCCACGTCCACGTCCACGTCCACGTCCAGGTCCACGTCCTGGTCCAGGTCCACGTCCACGTCCACTTCGACGTCCACGTCCACGTCCACGTCCACGTCCACGTCCATGTCCACGTCCACGTCCACGTCCACGTCCACGTCCATTTCTACGTCCACGTCCACGTCCACGTCCATGTCCACGTCCACGTCCACGTCCACGTCCATTTCTACGTCCACGTCCACGTCCACGTCCACGTCCACGTCCACGTCCATTTCGACGTCCACGTCCACGTCCACGTCCACGTCCAGGTCCACGTCCACGTCCATGTCCACGTCCACCTCCACGTCCACGTCCACGTCTACCTCCACGTCCACGTCCACTTCCACGTCCACGTCCACGTCCACTTCCACCTCCACGTCCACGTCCACGTCCACAACCACGTCCACGTCCACGTCCATTTCTACGTCCACGTCCATTTCTACGTCCACGTCCAGTTCTACGTCCACGTCCACGTCCACGTCCACGTCGACGTCCACGTCCATTTCGACGTCCACGTCCACGTCCACGTCCATTTCGACGTCCACGTCCACGTCCACGTCCACGTCCACATCCACGTCCACGTCCATTTCTACGTCCACGTCCACGTCCACTTCCACGTTTACGTCCACGTCCATTTCTACGTCCACGTCCATTTCTACGTCCACGTCCACGTCCACGTCCACGTCCACGTCCACGTCCATTTCGACGTCCACGTCCACGTCCACGTCCATTTCCACGTCCACGTCCATTTCAACGTCCACGTCCACGTCCACGTCCACGTCCACGTCCATTTCTACGTCCACATCCACGTCCACTTCCACGTCCACGTCCATGTCCACGTCCACGTCCACGTCCACGTCCACGTCCATTTCTACGTCCACGTCCACGTCCACTTCCACGTCCACGTCCATGTCCACGTCCACGTCCACGTCCACGTCCATGTCTACGTCCAGGTCCACGTCCAGGTCCAGGTCCACGTCCACGTCCACTTCGACGTCCACGTCCACGTCCACGTCCACGTCCACGTCCATGTCCACGTCCACGTCCACGTCCACGTCCATGTCCACGTCCACGTCCACGTCCATGTCCACGTCCACGTCCACGTCTACGTCCACGTCCACGTCCACGTCCATGTCCACGTCCACGTCCACGTCCACGTCCATGTCCACGTCCACGTCCATGTCCACGTCCACGTCCATGTCCACGGTCCACGTCCACGTCCACGTCGACGTCCATGTCCACGTCCACGTCCACGTCCACGTCCATGTCCACGTCCATGTCCACGTCCACGTCCACGTCCACGTCCAAGTCCACGTCCACGTCCACGTCTACGTCCACGTCCACGTCCACGTCCACGTCCACGTCCATGTCCACGTCCACGTCCACGTCCACGTCCATGTCCATGTCCACGTCCATGTCCCTGTCCACGTCCACGTCCATGTCCACGTCCACGTCCACGTCCACGTCCACGTCTACGTCCACGTCCACGTCCACTTCCATGTCCATTTCTACGTCCACGTCCACGTCCACGTCCATGTCCACGTCCACGTCCATGTCCACGTCCACGTCCACGTCCACGTCCATGTCCACGTCCACGTCCACGTCCACGCGTCCACGTCCATGTCCACGTCCACGTCCACGTCCACGTCCACGTCCACGTCCATGTCCACGTCCACGTCCACGTCCATGTCCACGTCCAGGTCCACGTCCACGTCCAGGTCCACGTCCACGTCCACGTCCACGTCCACGTCTACGTCCACGTCCACGTCCACGTCCACGTCCATTTCTACGTCCACGTCCATGTCCACGTCCACGTCTACGTCCATGTCCACGTCCACCTCCACGTCCATTTCTACGTCCTTGTCCATGTCCACGTCCACCTCCACGTCCACGTCCACGTCCACGTCCATTTCCAGGTCCACGTCCACGTCCACGTCCATGTCCACGTCCATGTCCAGGTCCACGTCCACGTCCACGTCCACGTCCACGTCCACGTCTACGTCCACGTCCATGTCCACGTCCACGTCCACGTCCATGTCCACGTCCACGTCCACGTCCACGTCCATGTCCACGTCCACGTCCACGTCCATGTCCACGTCCACGTCCATGTCCACGTCCACGTCCACGTCCACGTCCATGTCCACGTCCACGTTCACGTCCACGTCCACGTCCATGTCCACGTCCAAGTCCATGTCCTCGTCCACGTCCACGTCTAGGTCCACGTCCAGGTCCACGTCCAGGTCCACGTCCACGTCCACGTCCACGTCCTCCACGTCCTCCACGTCCTCGTCCACGTCCTCCACGTCCTCGTCCACGTCCTCCACGTCCACGTCGTCCACGTCCACGTCCACGACCACGTCCACGTCCATGTCCACGACCACGACCACGTCCATGTCCACGTCCACGTCCATGACCACGTCCACGTCCACGTCCACGATCACGACCACGTCCACGACCACGACCACGTCCACGTTCACGTCCACATCCACGTCCACGTCCACGTCCACGTGCACGTCCAGGTCCACGTCCATTTCTACGTCCACGTCCATTTCTACGTCCACGTCCACGTCCATGTCCACGTCCTCGTCCACGTCCACGTCCAGGTCCACGTCCAGGTCCACGTCCAGGTCCACGTCCACCTCCAGGTCCACGTCCAGGTCTACGTCCAGGTCCACGTTCACGTCCACGTCCTCCACCACGTCCACTTCCACGTCCACGTCCACGTCCACGTCCACGTCCACGACCACGTCCACGTCCATGTCCACGACCACGACCACGTCCATGTCCACGTCCACGTCCAGGTCCACGTCCACGTCCAGGTCCACGTCCACGTCCACGTCCACGTCCACGTCCACATCTACGTCCACGTCCACGTCCACGTCCACGTCCATTTCTACGTCCACGTCCATGTCCACGTCCACGTCTACGTCCATGTCCACGTCCACCTCCACGTCCATTTCTACGTCCTTGTCCATGTCCACGTCCACCTCCACGTCCACGTCCACGTCCACGTCCATTTCCAGGTCCACGTCCACGTCCACGTCCACGTCCATGTCCACGTCCATGTCCAGGTCCAGGTCCACGTCCACGTCCACGTCCACGTCTACGTCCACGTCCATGTCCACGTCCACGTCCACGTCCATGTCCACGTCCACGTCCACGTCCACGTCCATGTCCACGTCCACGTCCACGTCCACGTCCATGTCCACGTCCACGTCCACGTCCACGTCCATGTCCACGTCCACGTTCACGTCCACGTCCACGTCCATGTCCACGTCCAAGTCCATGTCCTCGTCCACGTCCACGTCCAGGTCCACGTCCAGGTCCACGTCCAGGTCCACGTCCACGTCCACGTCCACGTCCTCCACGTCCTCCACGTCCTCGTCCACGTCCTCCACGTCCTCGTCCACGTCCTCCACGTCCACGTCGTCCACGTCCACGTCCACGACCACGTCCACGTCCATGTCCACGACCACGACCACGTCCATGTCCACGTCCACGTCCATGACCACGTCCACGTCCACGTCCACGATCACGACCACGTCCACGACCACGACCACGTCCACGTTCACGTCCACATCCACGTCCACGTCCACGTCCACGTGCACGTCCAGGTCCACGTCCATTTCTACGTCCACGTCCATTTCTACGTCCACGTCCACGTCCATGTCCACGTCCTCGTCCACGTCCACGTCCAGGTCCACGTCCAGGTCCACGTCCAGGTCCACGTCCACCTCCAGGTCCACGTCCAGGTCTATGTCCAGGTCCACGTCCACGTCCACGTCCTCCACCACGTCCACTTCCACGTCCACGTCCACGTCCACGTCCACGTCCACGACCACGTCCACGTCCATGTCCACGACCACGACCACGTCCATGTCCACGTCCACGTCCATGTCCACGCCCACGTCCACGTCCACGTCCATGTCCACGTCCACGTCCACGTCCACGTTCACGTCCACGTCCATGTCCACGTCCATTTCCATGTGCACGTCCACGTCCACGTCCACGTTCATTTCTACGTCCACGTCCACGTCCACGTCCATGTCCATGTCCACGTCCATGTCCACGTCCATGTCTACGTCCACGTCCACGTCCACGTCCATGTCCACGCCCACGTCCACGTCCATGTCCACGTCCACGTCCACGTCCACGTTCACGTCCACGTCCACGTCCATGTCCACGTCCATTTCCATGTGCACGTCCACGTCCACGTCCACGTTCATTTCTACGTCCACGTCCACGTCCACGTCCACGTCCACGTCCATGTCCATGTCCACGTCTACGTCCACGTCCATTTCTACGTCCACGTCCACGTCCATGTCCACGTCCACGTCCACGTCCACGACCACGTCCACGTCCATGTCCACGACCACGACCACGTCCATGTCCACGTCCACGTCCATGTCCACGCCCACGTCCACGTCCACGTCCATGTCCACGTCCACGTCCACGTCCACGTTCACGTCCACGTCCACGTCCATGTCCACGTCCATTTCCATGTGCACGTCCACGTCCACGTCCACGTTCATTTCTACGTCCACGTCCACGTCCACGTCCACGTCCACGTCCATGTCCATGTCCACGTCCATGTCCACGTCCATGTCCACGTCCACGTCCACGTCCACGTCCATGTCCACGCCCACGTCCACGTCCATGTCCACGTCCACGTCAACGTCCACGTTCACGTCCACGTCCACGTCCATGTCCACGTCCATTTCCATGTGCACGTCCACGTCCACGTCCACGTTCATTTCTACGTCCACGTCCACGTCCACGTCCACGTCCATGTCCACGTCCACGTCTACGTCCACGTCCCTTTCTACGTCCACGTCCACGTCGACGTCCACGTCCATGTCCATGTCCATGTCCACGTCCACGTCCACGTCCACGTCCACGTCCACGTCCATGTCCACGTCCACGTCCACGTCCACGTCCATGTCCACGTCCACGTCCATGTCCACGTCCACGTCCATGTCCACGTCTATGTCCACGTCCATGTCCACGTCCACGTCCACGTCCATGTCCACGTCCACGTCCACGTCCACGTCCACGTCTACCTCCACGTCCATGTCCACGTCCACGTCCATGTCCACGTCCACGTCCACGTCTACGTCCATTTCTACGTCCACGTCCACGTCCATTTCCACGTCCACGTCCACGTCCACGTCCATGTCCACGTCCACGTCCAGGTCCACGTCCACGTCCATGTCCACGTCCATGTCCACGTCCATGTCCACGTCCACGTCCACGTCCATGTCCACGTCCACGTCCAAGTCCACGTCCACGTCCACGTCCACGTCCACGTCCATTTCTACATCCACGTCCATGTCCACGTCCACGTCCATATCCACGTCCACGTCCACGTCCATGTCCACGTCCACGTCCACGTCCACGTCCACGTCCATTTCTACGTCCACGTCCACGTCCACGTCCACGTCCACGTCCACGTCCATTTCTACGTCCACGTCCACGTCCACGTCCACGTCCATGTCCACGTCCATGTCCACGTCCATGTCCACGTCCACGTCCACGTCCATGTCCACGTCCACGTCCACGTCCATGTCCACGTCTACGTCCACGTCCATGTCCACGTCCACGTCCACGTCCACGTCCACGTCCACGTCCATGTCCACGTCCACGTCCACGTCTACGTCCATGTCCACGTCCACGTACATGTCCACGTCCACGTCCACGTCCACGTCCACGTCCACATCCATGTCCACGTCCACGTCCACGTCCACGTCCATGTCCACGTCCATGTCCACGTCCATGTCCACGTCCACATCCACGTCCACGTCCACGTCTACGTCCACGTCCATGTCCACGTGTACGTCCACGTCCATTTCTACGTCCATGTCCATTTCTACGTCCACGTCTACGTCCATGTCCACGTCCACGTCCATGTCCACGTCCACGTCCACGTCCACGTCCATGTCCACGTCCACGTCCACGTCCACGTCCACGTCCACGTCCACGTCCACGTCCATGTCCACGTCCACGTCCACGTCCATTTCTACGTCCACGTCCATGTCCACGTCCACGTCCACGTCCATGTCCACGTCCACCTCCACGTCCATTTCTACGTCCTTGTCCATGTCCACGTCCACGTCCACGTCCACGTCCACGTCCACGTCCATTTCCACGTCCACGTCCACGTCCACGTCCACGTCCACGTCCATGTCCAGGTCCACGTCCACGTCCACGTCCACGTCCACGTCCATGTCCACGTCCACGTCCATGGCCATGTCCACGTCCACGTCCACGTCCACGTCCACGTCCATGTCCACGTCCACGTCCACGTCCATGTCCACGTCCACGTCCATGTCCACGTCCATGTCCACGTCCACGTCCATGTCCACGTCCATGTCCACGTCCATGTCCACGTCCACGTCCACGTCCATGTCCACGTCCACGTCCATGTCCACGTCCATGTCCACGTCCACGTCCACGTCCATGTCCACGTCCACGTCCACGTCCACGTCCACGTCCACGTCCATGTCCACGTCCACGTCCACGTCCATGTCCACGTCCACGTCCATGTCCACGTCCATGTCCACGTCCACGTCCATGTCCACGTCCATGTCCACGTCCACGTCCATGTCCACGTCCATGTCCACGTCCACGTCCACGTCCATGTCCACGTCCACGTCCACGTCCACGTCCACGTCCACGTCTACGTCCATGTCGATGTCCACGTCTACGTCGACCTCCATTTCTACGTCCACGTCCACGTCCATGTCCACGTCCACGTCCACGTCCATGTCCACGTCCACGTCCACGTCCACGTCCACGTCCACGTCCACGTCCATGTCCACGTCCACGTCCACGTCCACGTCTACGTCCACGTCTACGTCCACGTCCACGTCCACGTCCTCGTCCACGTCCACGTCCACGTCCACGTCCACGTCCACGTCCATGTCCACGTCCACGTCCACGTCCACGTCCACGTCCATGTCCACGTCCAGGTCCACGTCCAGGTCCACGTCCACGTCCACGTCCACGTCCACGTCTACGTCCACGTCCATGTCCACGGTCTACGTCCATGTCCATGTCCACGTCCACGTCCACGTCCACGACCACGTCCACGTCCACGTCCACGTCCACGTCCACGTCCACGTCCACGTCCACGTCCACGTCCATGTCCACGTCCACGTCCACGTCCACGTCCATGTCCACGTCCATGTCCACGTCCACGTCCACGTTCCACGTCCACGTCCACGTCCACGTCCATGTCCACGTCCACGTCCTCGTTCACGTCCACGTCCACGTCCACGTCCACGTCCACGTCCACGTCCACGTCCATTTCTACGTCTACGTCCACGTCTACGTCCATTTCTACGTCCACGTCCACGTCCACGTCCACGTCCACGTCCATGTCCACGTCCACTCCACGTCCACGTCTACGTCCACGTCTACGTCCATGTCCATGTCCACGTCGTGGACGTGGACGTGGACGTGGACATGGACGTGGACATGGACATGGACGTGGACGTGGACGTGGACGTGGACGTGGACATGGACGTGGACGTGGACGTGGACGTGGACGTGGACGTGGACATGGACGTAGACGTGGACATGGACATGGACGTAGACGTGGACGTTGACGTGGACGTGGACGTGGACGTGGACATGGACGTGGACGTGGACGTGGACGTGGACGAGGACGTAGACGTGGACATGGACGTGGACGTGGACGTAGAAATGGACGTGGACGTAGACGTGGACATGGACAAGGACGTAGACGTGGACGTGGACGTGGACGTGGACATGGATATGGACGTGGACGTGGACGTGGACGTGGACATGGACGTGGACGTGGACGTGGACGTGGACGTGGACGTAGACGTGGACGTGGACGTGGACGTAGACATGGACGTGGACATGGACGTGGACTTGGACGTGGACGCGGACATGGACGTGGACGTGGACATGGACGTAGACGTGGACGTGGACGTGGACATGGACGTGGATGTGGACGTGGACATGGACATGGACGTGGACGTGGACATGGACGTGGACGTGGACGTAGACGTAGACGTGGACGTGGACGTGGACGTGGAAGTGGACTTGGAGGTGGACGTAGACGTGGACATGGACGTGGACGTGGACATGGACGTGGACATGGACGTGGACATGGACGTGGACGTGGACATGGACGTGGACGTGGACATGGACGTGGACGGACATGGACGTGGACATGGACATGGACGTGGACATGGACATGGACGTGGACGTGGACGTGGACGTGGACGTGGACGTGGACGTGGATGTGGACATGGACATGGACGTGGACGTGGACATGGACGTGGACCTGGACGTGGACGTGGACGTCGACGTGGACGTTGACGTGGACGTGGACGTGGACGTGGACCTGGACGTGGACGTGGACGTGGACGTGGACGTGGACGTGGACGTAGACATGGACGTGGACATGGACGTGGACATGGACGTGGACGTGGACATGGACGTGGACATGGACGTGGACGTAGACATGGACGTGGACGTGGACGTGGACGTGGACGTGGACGTGGACGTGGACGTAGACGTGGACGTGGACGTGGACGTGGACGTGGACGTCCACGTCCATGTCCACGTCTACGTCCACATCCATTTCGACGTCCACGTCCACGTCCACGTCCACGTCCATGTCCACGTCCATGTCCACGTCCACGTCCGCGTCCACGTCCACGTCCATGTCCACGTCCACGTCCACGTCCACGTCCACGTCCACGTCCACGTCCATGTCCACGTCCACGTCCACGTCCATGTCCACGTCCACGTCCACGTCCACGTCCACGTCCACGTCCACGTCCATGTCCACGTCTACGTCCACGTCCACGTCCATGTCCACGTCCAAGTCCACGTCCATGTCCACGTCCACGTCCACGTCCACGTCCACGTCCACGTCTACGTCCACGTCTACGTCCACGTCCACGTCCACGTCCACGTCCACGTCCACGTCTACGTCCACGTCCACGTCCACGTCCACGTCCATGTCCACGTCCATGTCCATGTCCACGTCCACGTCCACGTCCACGTCCATGTCCACGTCCACGTCCACGTCCACGTCCACGTCCACGTCCACGTCTACGTCCACGTCCACGTCCACGTCCACGTCCACGTCTTCCTCCACGTCCTCGTCCACGTCCTCGTCCACGTCCACGTCCACGTCCACGTCCACGTCCAGGTCCACGTCCATGTCCACGTCCACGTCCACGTCCACGTCCATGTCCATGTCCACGTCCACGTCCATGTCCACGTCCACGTCCACGTCCACGTCCACGTCCACGTCCACGTCCACGTCCATGTCCACGTCCACGTCCACGTCCATGTCCACGTCCACGTCCACGTCCACGTCCACGTCCACGTCCACGTCCTCCTCCACGTCCTCGTCCACGTCCACGTCCACGTCCACGTCCACGTCCACGTCCACGTCCACGTCCATGTCCACGTCCACGTCCATGTCCACGTCTACGTACACATCCATTTCGACGTCCACGTCCACGTCCACGTCCACGTCCACGTCCATGTCCACGTCCATGTCCACGTCCACGTCCACGTCCACGTCTACGTCCTTGTCCATGTCCACGTCCACGTCCATGTCCACGTCCACGTCCACGTCCATTTCCACGTCCACGTCCACGTCCACGTCCACGTCCATGTCCACGTCCACGTCCAGGTCCACGTCCACGTCCAGGTCCACGTCCACGTCCACGTCCACGTCCACGTCTACGTCCACGTCCACGTCCACGTCCACGTCCATTTCTACGTCCACGTCCATGTCCACGTCCACGTCTACGTCCATGTCCACGTCCACCTCCACGTCCATTTCTACGTCCTTGTCCATGTCCACGTCCACCTCCACGTCCACGTCCACGTCCACGTCCATTTCCAGGTCCACGTCCACGTCCACGTCCACGTCCATGTCCACGTCCATGTCCAGGTCCACGTCCACGTCCACGTCCACGTCCACGTCTACGTCCACGTCCATGTCCACGTCCACGTCCACGTCCATGTCCACGTCCACGTCCACGTCCATGTCCACGTCCACGTCCACGTCCATGTCCACGTCCACGTCCATGTCCACGTCCACGTCCACGTCCACGTCCATGTCCACGTCCACGTTCACGTCCACGTCCACGTCCATGTCCACGTCCAAGTCCATGTCCTCGTCCACGTCCACGTCCAGGTCCACGTCCAGGTCCACGTCCAGGTCCACGTCCACGTCCACGTCCACGTCCTCCACGTCCTCCACGTCCTCGTCCACGTCCTCCACGTCCTCGTCCACGTCCTCCACGTCCACGTCGTCCACGTCCACGTCCACGACCACGTCCACGTCCATGTCCACGACCACGACCACGTCCATGTCCACGTCCACGTCCATGACCACGTCCACGTCCACGTCCACGATGACGACCACGTCCACGACCACGACCACGTCCACGTTCACGTCCACATCCACGTCCACGTCCACGTCCACGTGCACGTCCAGGTCCACGTCCATTTCTACGTCCACGTCACCCTCTACGTCCACGTCCATTTCTACGTCCACGTCCACGTCCATGTCCACGTCCTCGTCCACGTCCACGTCCAGGTCCACGTCCAGGTCCACGTCCAGGTCCACGTCCACCTCCAGGTCCACGTCCAGGTCCACGTCCAGGTCCACGTCCACGTCCACGTCCTCCACCACGTCCACTTCCACGTCCACGTCCACGTCCACGTCCACGTCCACGACCACGTCCACGTCCATGTCCACGACCACGACCACGTCCATGTCCACGTCCACGTCCATGTCCACGCCCACGTCCACGTCCACGTCCATGTCCACGTCCACGTCGACGTCCACGTTCACGTCCACGTCCATGTCCACGTCCATTTCCATGTGCACGTCCACGTCCACGTCCACGTTCATTTCTACGTCCACGTCCACGTCCACGTCCACGTCCATGTCCATGTCCACGTCCATGTCCACGTCCATGTCTACGTCCACGTCCACGTCCACGTCCACGTCCATGTCCACGCCCACGTCCACGTCCATGTCCACGTCCACGTCCACGTCCACGTTCACGTCCACGTCCACGTCCATGTCCACGTCCATTTCCATGTGCACGTCCACGTCCACGTCCACGTTCATTTCTACGTCCACGTCCACGTCCACGTCCACGTCCACGTCCACGTCCATGTCCATGTCCACGTCTACGTCCACGTCCATTTCTACGTCCACGTCCACGTCCACGTCCACGTCCATGTCCATGTCCACGTCCACGTCCACGTCCACGTCCACGTCCATGTCCACGTCCACGTCCACGTCCACGTCCACGTCCACGACCACGTCCACGTCCATGTCCACGACCACGACCACGTCCATGTCCACGTCCACGTCCATGTCCACGCCCACGTCCACGTCCACGTCCATGTCCACGTCCACGTCCACGTCCACGTTCACGTCCACGTCCATGTCCACGTCCATTTCCATGTGCACGTCCACGTCCACGTCCACGTTCATTTCTACGTCCACGTCCACGTCCACGTCCACGTCCATGTCCATGTCCACGTCCATGTCCACGTCCATGTCCACGTCCACGTCCACGTCCACGTCCACGTCCATGTCCACGCCCACGTCCACGTCCATGTCCACGTCCACGTCCACGTCCACATTCACGTCCACGTCCACGTCCATGTCCACGTCCATTTCCATGTGCACGTCCACGTCCACGTCCACGTTCATTTCTACGTCCACGTCCACGTCCACGTCCACGTCCACGTCCATGTCCACGTCCACGTCTACGTCCACGTCCACGTCCATGTCCACGTCCACGTCTAAACCCTAAACCCTAAACCCTAAACCCTAAACCCTAAACCCTAAACCCTACGTCCACGTCCACGTCCACGTCCACGTCCATGTCCATGTCCATGTCCACGTCCACGTCCACGTCCACGTCCACGTCCATGTCCACGTCCACGTCCACGTCCACGTCCATGTCCACGTCCACGTCCATGTCCACGTCCACGTCCATGTCCACGTCTATGTCCACGTCCATGTCCACGTCCACGTCCACGTCCATGTCCACGTCCACGTCCACGTCCACGTCCACGTCTACCTCCACGTCCATGTCCACGTCCACGTCCATGTCCACGTCCACGTCCACGTCTACGTCCATTTCTACGTCCACGTCCACGTCCATTTCCACGTCCACGTCCACGTCCACGTCCATGTCCACATCCACGTCCAGGTCCACGTCCACGTCCATGTCCACGTCCATGTCCACGTCCATGTCCACGTCCACGTCCACGTCCATGTCCACGTCCAAGTCCACGTCCACGTCCACGTCCACGTCCACGTCCATTTCTACATCCACGTCCATGTCCACGTCCACGTCCATATCCACGTCCACGTCCACGTCCATGTCCACGTCCACGTCCACGTCCATTTCTACGTCCACGTCCACGTCCACGTCCACGTCCACGTCCACGTCCATTTCTACGTCCACGTCGACGTCCACGTCCACGTCCATGTCCACGTCCATGTCCACGTCCATGTCCACGTCCACGTCCACGTCCATGTCCACGTCCACGTCCACGTCCATGTCCACGTCCACGTCCACGTCCATGTCCACGTCCACGTCCACGTCCACGTCCACGTCTATGTCCACGTCCACGTCCACGTCTACGTCCATGTCCACGTCCACGTCCATGTCCACGTCCACGTCCACGTCCACGTCCACGTCCACGTCCACGTCCATGTCCACGTCTATGTCCACGTCCATGTCCACGTCCACGTCCACGTCCACGTCCACGTCTACGTCCACGTCCACGTCCACGTCTACGTCCACGTCCATGTCCACGTGTACGTCCACGTCCATTTCTACGTCCATGTCCATTTCTACGTCCACGTCCACGTCCATGTCCACGTCCACGTCCACGTCCACGTCCACGTCCACGTCCATGTCCACGTCCACGTCCACGTCCACGTCCACGTCCACGTCCACGTCCACGTCCACGTCCACGTCCATGTCCACGTCCACGTCCACGTCCATTTCTACATCCACGTCCATGTCCACGTCCACGTCCACGTCCATGTCCACGTCCACCTCCACGTCCATTTCTACGTCCTTGTCCATGTCCACGTCCACGTCCACGTCCATTTCCACGTCCACGTCCACGTCCACGTCCACGTCCACGTCCATGTCCAGGTCCACGTCCACGTCCACGTCCACGTCCACGTCCATGTCCACGTCCACGTCCATGGCCATGTCCACGTCCACGTCCACGTCCACGTCCACGTCCATGTCCACGTCCACGTCCACGTCCATGTCCACGTCCACGTCCATGTCCACGTCCATGTCCACGTCCACGTCCATGTCCACGTCCACGTCCATGTCCACGTCCATGTCCACGTCCACGTCCATGTCCACGTCCATGTCCACGTCCATGTCCACGTCCACGTCCACGTCCATGTCCACGTCCACGTCCACGTCCACGTCCATGTCCACGTCCAAGTCCACGTCCATGTCCACGTCCACGTCCACGTCCACGTCCACGTCCACGTCCACGTCTACGTCCACGTCTACGTCCACGTCCACGTCCACGTCCACGTCCACGTCCACGTCCACGTCCACATCCACGTCCACGTCCATGTCCACGTCCATGTCCATGTCCACGTCCACGTCCATGTCCACGTCCATGTCCACGTCCACGTCCACGTCCACGTCCACGTCCACGTCCACGTCTACGTCCACGTCCACGTCCACGTCCACGTCCACGTCTTCCTCCACGTCCTCGTCCACGTCCTCGTCCACGTCCACGTCCACGTCCACGTCCACGTCCAGGTCCACGTCCATGTCCACGTCCACGTCCACGTCCACGTCCAGGTCCATGTCCACGTCCACGTCCATGTCCACGTCCACGTCCACGTCCACGTCCACGTCCACGTCCACGTCCATGTCCACGTCCACGTCCACGTCCATGTCCACGTCCACGTCCACGTCCATGTCCACGTCCATTTCCATGTGCACGTCCACGTCCACGTCCACGTTCATTTCTACGTCCACGTCCACGTCCACGTCCACGTCCACGTCCATGTCCACGTCCACGTCTACGTCCACGTCCACGTCCACGTCCACGTCCACGTCCATGTCCACGTCCACGTCCATGTCCACGTCTACGTCCACATCCATTTCGACGTCCACGTCCACGTCCACGTCCACGTCCACGTCCATGTCCACGTCCATGTCCACGTCCACGTCCACGTCCACGTCCACGTCCATGTCCACGTCCACGTCCATGTCCACGTCCACGTCCACGTCCACGTCCACGTCCACGTCCACGTCCGCGTCCACGTCCACGTCCACGTCCACGTCCATGTCCACGTCCACGTCCACGTCCATGTCCACGTCCACGTCCACGTCCACGTCCATGTCCACGTCTACGTCCACGTCCACGTCCACGTCCACGTCCACGTCCAAGTCCAAGTCCATGTCCACGTCCACGTCCACGTCCATGTCCACGTCCACGTCTACGTCCACGTCCACGTCCACGTCCACGTCCACGTCTACGTCCACGTCTACGTCCACGTCCACGTCCACGTCCACGTCCACGTCCACGTCCACGTCCACGTCCATGTCCACGTCCATGTCCACGTCCACGTCCACGTCCACGTCCACGTCCACGTCCACGTCCCACGTCCACGTCCACGTCCACGTCCACGTCCACGTCCACGTCCACGTCCACGTCCTCGTCCACGTCCACGTCCATGTCCACGTCCACGTCCACGTCCACGTCCACGTCCACGTCCACGTCCACGTCCACGTCTACGTCCACGTCCACGTCCACGTCTACGTCCACGTCCATGTCCACGTCCACGTCCACGTCCATGTCCACGTCCATGTCCACGTCCATGTCCACGTCCACGTCCACGTCCACGTCCACGTCCACGTCCATGTCCATGTCTATGTCCACATCCATGTCCATGTCCACGTCCATGTCCATGTCCACGTCCATGTCCACGTCCATGTCCACGTCCACGTCCACGTCCACGTCCACGTCCACGTCCATGTCCATGTCCACGTCCATATCCACGTCCATGTCCACGTCCACGTCCACGTCCACGTCCATGTACACGTCCATGTCCACGTCCATGTCCACGTCCATGTCCACGTCATGCCACGTCCACGTCCATGTCCATGTCCACGTCCACGTCCACGTCCACGTCTACGTCCACGTCCACGTCCACGCCTACGTCCACGTCCACGTCCACGTCCACGTCCATGTCCACGTCCACGTCCACGTCCACGTCCAAGTCCACGTCCATGTCCACGTCCACGTCCATGTCCACGTCCACGTCCAAGTCCACGTCCATGTCCACGTCCATGTCTACGTCCACGTCCACGTCCACGTCCACGTCTACGTCCACGTCCACGTCGACGTCCACGTCCACGTCCATGTCCACGTCCACGTCCACGTCCACGTCCATGTCCATGTCCATGTCCATGTCCACGTCCACGTCCACGTCCACGACCACGTCTACGTCCATGTTCATGTCCACGTCTACGTCCACGTCCATTTCTACGTCCACGTCCACGTCCATGTCCACGTCCACGTCCACGTCCACGTCCATGTCCACGTCCATGTCCTCGTCCACGTCCACGTCCACGTCTACGTCCATGTCCATGTCCACATCTACGTCCATGTCACGTCCACGTCCACGTCCACGTCCACGTCCACGTCCATGTCCACGTCCACGTCCACGTCCACGTCCATGTCCATGTCCACGTCCACGTCCACGTCCACGTCCACGTCCATGTCCACGTCCACGTCCACGTCCACGTCCACGTCCATGTCCACGTCCACGTCCACGTCCACGTCCACGTCCACGTCCACGTCTACGGTCCACGTCCATGTCCACGTCCACGCCCACGTCCATGTCTACGTCCATGTCCACGTCCACGTCCATGTGCACGTCCACGTCCATGTCCCACGTCCACGTCCACGTCCAAGTCCACGTCCACGTCCACGTCCAGGTCCACGTCCAGGTCCACGTCTACGTCCAGGTTCTACGTCCAGCGTCCACTGTCCACGTCCATGTCCACGTCCATGTCCACGTCCACGTCCACGTCCACGTCAACGTCACGTCCATCCCGTCCACGTCCATGTCCATGTCCACGTCCACGTCCATGTCCATGTCCACGTCCACGTCCATGTCCACGTCCACGTCCACGTCCACGTCCATGTCCATGTCCACGTCCATGTCCACGTCCACGTCCACGTCCACGTCCACGTCCACGTCCACGTCCACGTCCACGTCCATGTCCACGTCCATGTCCACGTCCACGTCCACGTCCACGTCCACGTCCATGTCCACGTCCACGTCCACGTCCACGTCCACGTCCCACGTCCACGTCCACGTCCACGTCCACGTCCACGTCCTCCTCCACGTCCTCGTCCACGTCCTCGTCCACGTCCACGTCCACGTCCACGTCCACGTCCACGTCCATGTCCACGTCCACGTCCACGTCCACGTCCACGTCTACGTCCACGTCCACGTCCACGTCCACGTCCAAGTCCACGTCCATGTCCACGTCCATGTCCACGTCCCGTCCACGTCCACGTCCAAGTCCACGTCCACGTCCACGTCCACGTCCATGTCCACGTCCACGTCCACGTCCACGTCCATGTCCACGTCCACGTCCACGTCCACGTCCACGTCCACGTCCACGTCCACGTCCACGTCTACGTCCACGTCCATTTCTACGTCCACGTCCATGTCCACGTCCACTCCACGTCCACGTCCACGTCCATGTACACGTCCCACGTCCACGTCCACGTCTACGTCCACGTCCACGTCCATGTCCACGTCCACGTCCACGTCCACGTCCACGTCCACGTCCATGTCCATGTCCAGGTCCACGTCCATGTCCACGTCCACGTCCACGTCCACGTCCACGTCCACGTCCATGTCCATGTCCACGTCTACGTCCATGTCCATTTCTACGTCCACGTCTACGTCCATGTCCACGTCCACGTCCACGTCCACGTCCACGTCCACGTCCACGTCCATGTCCACGTCCACGTCCACGTCCCGACGTCCACGTCCATGTCCACGTCCACGTCCACGTCCACGTCCACGTCCAGTACGTCCGTCCACGTCCACGTCCAC